TTTTTTTTTTACTGTGAATTGAGTGATGTTTAAAGTTTAAAGGACAGTCTATCAATTTTACATTTAATAAATCATATTTCATTGCAATCATTACAATCTGTTCCATGTACCATCAGAGGATAGTTTCCCAATTATCCAGATGGGTCTGATGAAAGTGGATAGGGGTAGATGGCGATAGGATTCTATGATCAACTGTGTGCAATTGTTAACAGGACTAATTGTGATCATCACAACTGTAAATGTAGAAGATGCGTAATTAAAAGTGGGGAGTATTTTATTTTTCATTTCAGGAACAGATTACCAGCAAGAGGGAAAAACATGACTGGAGTGTGGGATCCTAACCAGCAAAGTGGTGACAGCAGAGACAGTGGCAGAGGCGATCGCATAGAGAGAGAAAGCAGCTGAGGACTCTAAGCCCATGGACTGAGAAAGGCTATGTACCTGTGGGCAGGCAGCTGACTTGCCAAGTGTGCCCTTTAGACATTTAAATAAATATGTATTTTCTGTTTTGTTTGTGTGCATGAAAAAAAAAAAAAAAAAGGAATAGAGGTAAATACTCTGATGGTACATAGAACGTTGTTGTTGTTGTTATGTGCCATGTAGTGGTTACGAATCGGGCTGTGAACCTTAGGGTCAGCAGTTTGAAACTACCAGCGGTTCCACGGGAGAATAATGAGGCTTTCTGCTCCCGTAAAGAGTTACAGTCTCGGAAACCCTGTACAGGGTCACTTTGAGTCAGAATCAACTCCACGGCAACAACAGTGTTGTACAAATAAAATGTGTAAAGTTTACGCTTTCTTATTTTATGCCTAGAACACAGATACGCATACAATATACAAACATATATGCAGTATGGAGTCCTGTTATGGCATTATAGGATAAGCACTGGATGCCTAACTACAAGGTCGGTGGCTCAAACCTACGGCTAACCACAAGGTCTGCGGCTCAAACCTACCAGCTGCTCCTTTGAAACTTTATACAGGGTTGCTATGAGTTGGAAGTGATTTGATAGCATTTAACATTAACAACAGTAGAAAATAGAAAATTTACTAAAATTTCATGGGGAGGTTCAATTAGGGGAAAAAAACAACAGCTCTAAACAGGCTGCCAGGAGGGTCTCAATAATGAGAAAAAAGAAATATTGGGAAACATTGCACTAAAAACCTGAGTTCAGAGTGCATAAAGAAAAGTAAAAACAGAAATAGAAAGTCGCAGGGAGGGGGTAATGAATGGGGTGTAGGTCATCCCCAAAATGCAAAGTAGTATATTCCCTATTCAAAACACTTGCACAGAGGAAGGTACTCAGAGAACCTAGAGGCCAATGCTGAGAAAGTTACCAGCATCAACCCGAACAGCAGCATCTGCAAGATCATCAATGGCCTCCATCTTCCTTTTATTGATGTCTCTGGTGGTGCTTAGCTGCACCTCCACCTGCCCTCTGGGTTTGGACCTGCCTCAGAGCCATAGCCTGGCAAACAGGGGATTCTTGATGAAGATAAGCTCCCCCTTTCTTCTGCCTGAAGGACTGAAATGACTTTGGGTCTCCCCAGGAGGAGCTTGATGGCAACAAGTTCCTGAAAGCCCAAGCCATCTCAGTCCATTGTGAGATGATCCAGCAGATGCTCAAACCTCTTCGGCATACACAGCTCATCTTGGGATAAGATCCTCCTGCATTGAACTTTATCAGCATCTGAATTACCTGGAAATATGTTTAATACAAGAGATGGGGCAATTAATGAGGACTCCTTACTGACTGCGAAGAAATACTTCCAAAGAATCACTGTCTGTCTGACGGAGAAGAAATACAGCCCTTGTGCCTGGAGATCATCAGAACAGAAATTAGGTGAGCCTTCTCTGCATCAGCAAGTTGGCAAGAAAGACTAAGAAGTAAGGAAGATGACCCGGTTCCATGCGAATACGTTTCTTATGTATTAACAGACTGGATCGTACTCTACAAGTTCAGCTATTTCAAAAACTCTAATTTCTGCTATAATCATAACAAGAATTGAATCAAAACTTGTCAAATGCATTTTCTGGACTATAAAGTAACAATGTGTACACCTACATGGGCACTGATTCCCTACAGATGACCATATCTGTATGGAAGTACAGATAAAGTATCTATCTATCTATCTATTTAAATGTTTATTTACTTAACTTATTTAGTTTTACTATATCATGAAACTTTCACATTCTGCATAAAAAGTATATTCTATTTTGTTTATTTATTATTTTGTTTGGGTCATTAAATTTTTATTATAGAAAACTACATATATTTGTCTGTTCTTTAAAAACAAAACACCAAGTCTGATTTGCAGTTCTATGGATGGTATAATCCATGCAGT